GAAATGTTCATCCCTCACCCATCTCGAGATATTTAATTGCTCTCCTCTTCTTAAAACCGATGCAAGTGATAGAATTGGAGGAATTGTAGAACTCATAAAATTCCGCTTGTTGTGTAATCTGTTTCATGTTTTTCAACTCCATTACAATGTACCCCCCCCCCTGGAAAATAAAAAAAACTTAATAAAATTTAAATATTTTGATGGTTGCACCATACAACTCTCTCCAATCCTGATGAAGATGAGAAACTAAAACTGAAAAATTGGCACAAAGGTGAATAGGTTTTTTTTTTTTTTCAGTATGACAGCAACCCTCAACCAATATCCCAACCATGTTATCTACAGGCAACTATTTCTCCACCATCAAACAAACTATATTTTCTTTTGTGCCACTTTTGTTTGTATATATATTTTGCCCTGACTCCTACTAAAATTACGTAAGGTCAACCATCTTATCTTTTTCTTTTTTTTTTTTATTGAAAAATTCAAACTATTAAGTTATGATAAAATATATTGGAGTTGGACATTCCTTCCTAAAGAAAAATGTTGATTGGAGAGAAACACAAACCCAGAAACCTACATTCCTACTTCATTATTATTTTTTATGCACTGAGGAAAACGAACCGATATCATTGAAAAACTCGATAGTTACAAGTTTTCATTTGAATTAATATATGGCATTTGTTTACCTGAAGTTCATTACGTGACCTCGCCTAGGACACTGCATAGTGAAATGTCGGGGTTATTTTTAGTAGAAGAAAATCTCTTTGGAATGTGAAAGTTCCGTTGAGGCTGCCGTGCCAGTCAGCTGGCTTGGATTTTTCTCGCGATTGGCTACGTATCTGTACTCTGTAATCCTTTTAGTAGTATTTTACATTTATTTAATAATTTTAGAATGTTATTTTTTTAATTTCAAGATTTTTATCTGTTAGACTAGGCAGAAATTACCATTAACAATTAATGTAATTTTACTGGAACTTATTAAAACAAAGAATTTTTGTTTTTGTTTTTAAAAATCCGATTTTTTTTATCAATTGTATTCTTGGATTTGGATGAACGACTTAAAAGTTAAAAGCGGGGGGCAATGACCTTGCCATTTCACTGACCTATTCTCCTCTTGACTTCTTGAATCAACGATAGTTTTAGTTTTTTTTTTTTTTTTTTTTTTTAAGGTAATCCATTTTGTATGATGTATGAGATGCAATTTTCATATTTATTGTAATATTATTTTTGTTAAAATAACTACACTAGTTTTGCAATTATTTAATCTTAATTTCTGTTATCAGTTGAGAATTATTTCGAGATTGTCTGGATAATATCTGGAACTGTCTTTTTACGTTTTGACAAATTGTTTCTCCATTAGAAGGACTATTTATTCAGGAAGGATTTAGGTTTTATATATAACATCAGGTTAACAACTCATAAAAACGGAATAGTAATATTGAACTTTCAATCAATCTGAAAAACTAGGGAGTTTTTCTTGCATGGGTTTACTTAGATATTGTTATAAATCACAAACAAAAATAAATAAATAAACAGGGAGCATAGGGATTAATTTGTTAATATATTAAAGTAGACTTAAGAAGATACTGTTTTCTCCCCACAGACAACTTATATATTTATAATTATGTATTGAGTAATCTAGATCGGGTTGCAGAGAAGACTAGTATATACTTATAAAACCACATGGAAAAAGAAAAGAATCCTGTTCAAAAGAATATTAGTATAAATAAAATCGGCAAACTGATGTTTTCTGTCACGGCAAAATTTTTGTACTGATGGGTGCTTTTTTTTTTTTTTTTTAACTTTAGATACACTTGGTCATGAGAATGAAATAAACATGTGCAATCTTAATTTAATTCTTAATTCAGGTAGAAACACGTGGTACAATTTGTGTGTATGTATGTATATATATATATATATATAGGGGTGTCCATCTTCCCCAAGATCGATGTTGCATGACCTTTTCTCTCCCCTCCCCAAGATATTTTATTGCTTACCTCTTTTTAAAAACATTAGAAATAAAAGTACCGTAAGTCATAAACAATTATACTTGCTGAGGTCTGTTCTATGTATTTCCTTATTTGAAACTTTTCAATTCGAAAATTCATATCTCCGCCGCCTAAATTTATAGAAGTGCGCCCCTCAAAATTGTGATGGCGTAGCCTGCGCCATGAAACCTCCTTGTGGGCACCCCTGTATTTGTAAATTTACAATTACGCCAGAGTACTTTTATTGTAAGTATGGTAATATCGAATTCTATCCTTTTTTTTATAAAGTACTTCAATCAGTTGCTAATCCGGATTTACGGCTTCGGTAGTACTAAAGCCTGAGGTTAGAAGTTACCCGAAAGCTTCTAGAAATAAAATTTTTTGTGTGGAAAAGAAACAAATAAAAATAAAGCCTCTTCCTAAAATCTGTAATTGGAAACAATACTATATATCGACGTTATTTCTTGTTTTTCGTCGATGGTGTCATGCACGGCAATGAACATTTTTCCACAAATGGAAGTTTTTAATTAAGAATGAAAAATTGTCATGATGTGGAGTCAAAACATCAAGTTTATTCAGTTTGCCGACGTTTTCACTCTAACATGTGGGTCATAATCAGAGCAATGGTTAGAAGACCGGACGAGAACTGCAACCGAATATCGACTGTCACCCATCCCTAGCAAGATAAAGCTTTCATCTTGAGCGGGAAGGAAATTTATTGTACTCATACCACTAACGGATCCAGGATTTAATATTGGGGGGCTTTAGCCGGAAAGATTTTTTTTTTTTTTTTTGTATAAATATATTAGGATAATGACTTCGGAAGAAAGAAACTAACTAACTACCTATATGAAGTGGTCTTTAAATCCGATTAACTGTAATTAGACGAACAATAATACTTTTAAACATAATTTTTTCTATAAAACATGGTTATATTTTACCATTTCGGGGGAGGGGGACTTCAGCCGAAAGCCACTCCCGTAGATACGCCCGTGATTCATACCCATTTAGATTTTTATTATATAGAATAAAAATAAAAAACAAGATTAATATCAAGAGTTAATTGTCAATAGCCGTTGGATGCGAATGCGAAGGGAGAGGGCAGGAGGTGGCGGCACCTGGTGAGACAGATAGCCAACTGGAGTTCTTTGTTCGCCCTCAAGGACACTGCCACCACCACACTATAGCGCTCTGCCACCACCACCACCTCTAGGATACATTACTATAAGAGCGTCCTCTATGTCTTGTATCCATGTCTTGTCTTACCCAGCGATACAATAGGCCTCTCCCTCACTAAATATAGGCTAGTTAGTTAACTGTCTGCCTCTCCATATCTCCTCTTGTTGTTGTGCCCTTTTACTTTTTAGTTTTCTTTCTTTTCTTACAGCAGGTTCTCTACTACTATAGTCATTCATTCTGAACCTTGCTATCCACCAGCAGGTTCCCCAAGTTGATGAATTGCTGTATTGGAAAACGAGAATGGAATATTGGTTAAATAAAATTACCATATTCAGCGGTGTGTTGTATTATGAAGATTATACAATAAATATAATTTGAAAAGTTTGAATTAAACAGAACAGAAAACTTTCTGTTATAATTCTAATAAAAATTTAAAAATCAGTAAGACTTTGTAATCCTCATTTTATTGAATTATTTAGAATTTAGCATCCCTGTAATTAGCTTGACACTTCATCCATCTATCAGTTTACTTTAACTTATTGAGAATTGGGACTAATGGAAAAATACATATTTTTTTTTTTTGTAACAATGGAGGGGGTCTTCTCAACCACTTACAGGTCATTTTAGCACTTTACAATACTTAAAAAATTTACTCTACTTATAGTTTACAATACTTAACACTTTACAATACTTATAGTAAAAGTGAAGATAGAAAATATTAAAACATTGAAATTTACAAGAAAAGTAAATGTTTATAAAATTAAATAGTTGTGTATTTTTAAGAAATAAAAACAATTTTTCAACATCTTCGTGTTGGTTTGTAAAATTTCACTAATATTATTTACCAACTCACCTCCATTCCAATGTGCTTCGTAGGCATAACTCTCAGTTAAGATATGTCAAATGAAGAATAAATATGATTTACCAATTAAATCATTTAAATAAATGCAGTAAAAAAAAAAACTAATGTCTTTGTATTAATAATATTTTCAAATGTATTTACATTTTATTTTATTTCAAGTAGACATATTAACATTTAACGTATAACATTTTCATACGTATGTTTTTGGAGACCTCCATCATTGGTGTTCTATTCTTGAATAATTATTGCAAATTGTGTTTTTCCTTGATCTAAAATTCGTATACAATATTTAGTCATAATAAAAAAAATACTTTTTTATCTATTTTATTTTGTAATATTTATTTATGCCAAACATTTTATAATATACTAAACGTCACTTTCAGAATGTTTTATTAATAAAAAGGTATTATAATGGTAATCTTTTTTTTACTACATGTATGTCTGAACATGTTTAAATATACTTCTGAATAGTAGGTAAATATATAATATGAATGATGTATCATCTAATTAAAAAAAAAAAATTTAACTTCTAGAAATATAATTTTACTTGCCGAATGGATTAATCATTATGATGGATGTTTGAATACTGGTCAGCTTGGCATCAATTGGCAGGAATTTTATCATGGCCATTGAATACAAAATAATAGTAATTGATTTGGACTTAATTATGTTCCAATGACCTTCAGCTTCATCATAATTATTATGAAAAAGTAATAGATGTTAGAATGTATTCAAAATGTTTTAAATAAACATACCTTTTTTTTCATAAATTAATTTTTAATGACAAAATCATGGAAGTAGTAGTACTAGAAATGAATTTCAATATTTTAAGTGGAATTTCATATTTAAAAATTATATTTGGAGAAGACCAATATCAGCCTTGTAGTTTTTCAATGTCTATAATTTTAATCTAGTGTAATTTAAACTTAATGATTATTTATTGTTAAATAATCAATTTAAACAATTTTCAGGCTGCGATCCTGCAACAAACAGCTGAATATATCTACCAGCTCGAGCAGGAGAAGACACGGCTGTTGTCCCAAAACTGCCATTTGAAGCGCCTCTTGAATCAGCATGAAGGGGAAGCATCTGCCAACACCAAGAAGCGAAAGACAGATTCAGGTAAAGATGAAATATATTAATTATATGTTGACTATATTATAAATTTGTCTCTGCTAATTGGTTGAAAGTCAATGAGGATCCACAGACCCATGTATAAAATATGATGTATTTATTGATTAAATTGTCAAATAGTGTTATTATTTTATAATTATTCTCAGTTGAACAGTCTGATATTATTATCAGTCATTTCATTTACTGATATTCATATTTTTTTATAATTAAACTTTGCATGCTATTATTTGTTTCTCTGGTTCTAGGTTAGTTTATCTTCTAATTTTGTTATTTATTATTAACTGTTTGGCAAGATGTATATGTTAGAGCTGAACTAGGAACTATACGACATACTTGGGCATTAAATTCAATCTCTCTACTTTAAAATCATTTAATCTTAAAGAAGTAAAGAAAATGTGTGCATTTATTGAGCTAAGGCATCTTAGAGTGTCAATTGGATTAGTCCGACTGAAATTTGAGCTGTTATTTTATCTATTCATTGTAAAATTACTTTTTACTTATATACCTTAAATTTTAATTCTTAAACTCCACCTTGTTTTTTTGACTTTATGAGCCTATGTCGAAGGTCCAAGTTGTCGAGCTCAGTATTGTAATCTGCCAGAAGGAAGCTGACCATTTTTGTTTTGTATGTTCATTTAGGTTTGGTGGTAACGGTGACAAATCCGATATGTGAGCCCGCCGAGGAGGTAGCGGATCTAGTGCCAGTCACCCCTCAGTCCGCAATCATCTCAAGTAGGGCTTTTAAAAGTGTTTAAAAATAATCTCCTTTCATCCTCTTCCGTTGATGTTTGCTTAACAACCAGTACTGATCCCGTTTATTCCATATTTTTATATTAACATGTCTTATTCTTTTCTAACCTTTCTAATTAACCTGCTTTTCTTATGAATTTTCTATCTTATTTTTTGTTATTCTCAGTGAGTATAATTATTATCTTTTTATTCCTTCACGTTTGGCTGGTCAGGTTGTTTGCTTTAGCTCAAGTATTTTGAGTTGTTTCTAATCATAAAAGGTTTATATTTAATTTTTATTGTTTGTTATATTTAAAACTAGCTCGCATATTCGGCTTTGTGCAAGTGTTATATTTTTTTTTGTTCTACACATTACTATAAAATTTAATATTTTTTTTTTATTTATTTAATGTTTACACGATGAAATCCTAAACTATCAAAAATAGAATTTATTTAGGAGCCATTATATTGATTAACAAGAAAATAAATAGGAAGTGGTCAAATTTAGATTTCAATGAAAATAATTAAGACTCGGTTTGAAAAAAATAAAGTATTTTTATATATAATGTTAAGCCTTCTGGCTTAAATATTGTTCTATATGTAGGGGAAAAAAAATCATCGCTGATACGATAATATTTCTTAATAATTAATTATCTTTCATTTGTATTTATTGATTAAATTCCTTTATATTAATTAATCCTATTTTTTTGTTTCATTTTAAGAAATGTTTTCAGCGTTAAAAAAAAAAAGTTCTAGCCTAATATATTCTTTCCTTTTCTTCTTTTTCCCCCTCTTTGCTGAAAATTAAAACCTTTTTTTTCTCCAATAAATCTCATCATTTATTTTTTTATTAAACTAACACTAGTTTACAATACATAACATTTGATTTGTTTTCTTTATTTTATTTGGATAAAATATTTATAAATTATTATTATATTTTTAAGCTTTAGATTGAATATAATTCGCATAGCAATATTTTATAGAAAATTGTGTGATAGTATATTTTATCTAAATTTTAAAAATAAAAATAAACGTCTTCCCTCGTTGAATTAGGTCATTAGAAATTATATGAGTTGACAATGAAAGAAAAGTAGATTTAATGACCTCTTGAAAAGTATTTGTGGAAAAATTTGAAGTAAAATGATTGGCTCTATTTTTTAAAATATTTATTTCGTATAAAACATCACATTAATTGTCTTGATCTATGCTTTAAACACTATTCTAAGTTTTGATTGATAAAAATTATATAATTTTATTTTCCCAATTTTCAGAGGTCGATTTAGACACGAATGTAACAGGAACAACAAATGACCTAATCGACGTCAGAGTTCAACTGGATAGGGAAAGGAGATTACGCATGATTCTTGAAGAGCAGGTTCGTTCCCTTGAATCACAGCTCTATCCTGAAAGAATCCGGGAAATCACTCAACAAGTTCAACTCCAGTATCAGCAGCGGGATGATGTAAGTTGACATTTCAAATTATTCAGTTTTATCGAAATGAATGAATGAGGTAGCTGTCTGGTGCGCTTGTCCATTACTGCTCAACTTATTGCTGTAAGAGCTGATTTATGTGAATAGTTTGAAGTTTCTTATCAATAGTGTACATATCAAAGATGAAAGATGAACACTTTTCTTGAAAAACCAAAAATTTGAGTTAGCAACATGTACATTTTTGTGAAACATCCAGATATAATAAAAATTTTAGTTTCAGTCAGAGTGTAGATATCCACTTTTAGTTGCATAATCCTCATTTTATGTATAGTACATGTATAGCTAACTAATAAAAAAAAATTTGAAAGATTAGATATTTTGAATTTAGTTTTTTAGGTATTAATTATTAACACTGATAACTCCTCTTTGTTTTTCATTATATAAATTTAATATTTTTTTTTCTTTTATTAGCAACCAGAGGATACAACTGGTGCTGCAGTGATTACACCGATGAGGCGGGAAGTGATGTCGGGTGCTGCAGAAACTGTCGCAGCAGTGGCCAATCTTCAAGTTGTCTCAGGGACCTCACTCCAGCCCGTGGCTCACACGGAAACTGTGATAGCCACTGTAACGCCCTCACCTCCCCATTCACCACGATTGCCATCTATCCTGGAAGCTGCGATCAAGGCCGAACCTAAGGTGGAAGTAGAGCGCTTGCCATCTCCTCACTCTCTTTCCAACGACGACAGAATGTCTCAAGCAAGGTATGTCATAGTGTTGTTGAACATTGTTAATTCAATTATGTAAGTTTTAAAGTATGCCTTGGATTAATGGATTAATAATTATTTTCAGAGTATACTTGGCATCAACATCCAGACAGAACCTTGAAACAATCGTCGAAGCAATCCGGCATTTGGAAGGAGATAGCCTGTTTGACGGGGTCGAAGGGGGAGGCGGGGAAGATGGCGCACCGCAGGAGGCCCCCCTGGCCCTCACCAAACACAACTCACCTGAAAAACAGCACCTGATAAAGGTGAAGATGAACCAGTACCTCCAGTTCCACCAGCAGCAGAGGCCTGGGGTCATAGTTGTAAAGCAGCACACGTGATCTCCACGTTCATAGATGTGCATATAAATATATATTCATATGTATATATTTATATATACATAAGTATATATAAACCTTTCTTTTTCTTCCCCTCCCCTACACAAACTGTTTATTTTGTATATCTCTATAAGAAACTCGAATTGCAGTGACCTGGCTTATGCCTATTTGAAACAAAAGGACTTTCTAAAAATACAGTGTTTACAGTTTTGGAAATTGATGTATTGATTTACCATCTTGCGCGTAATCCTTAACTTGCTGGCTTTTGCAATGCAGGTATTAGTGGACATCTATTTCCCATGATCATCTTTATTTTAATATATTTATATTGTTCCAAGTTTTTTAGGTGCAAAAATTACTATAATAAATTGTAGAGGTGTTTTAAGATTGGATTTATTATATGTAAATGTAATATTACGTTGAAAATCCTTTGTGAGAGGGTTGCTATGTTACCCATTGTAAATTTGAAAATAAAACTATTTAATACAAGCTTGTAAAGTTATTGATATTAATTTTAATTAAAGTTATCTTTTTTCGATGATATTTATTCGTGAAGTAAAACTTCTCTGATAGATGTACACTAAGAAGGATTGTTTCTAGATCAATCTTGTTATCTCGAACTATAAAATTTCTAATATAATTGATATTTGATTGACAACATATTAGCAAAGAATATTGTTATATTTAGTTAAATTGAAAATATTAATGTTTCAGTGAGTGTACATGTATTTTATTATAATATAAAAATTAAAAAACCGAATGAGGTTTAAAAATACCTTCTCCTTGGTGTAAATGTGTGCGGGAGGGGTGTTTTTGTTTTTGGCGTAGTGGACTGACACCTTGCTCTAAATCATGATGTAATGAATGAAACACATGATTGAAGGGCTAGGTTCGTCTAAGCTAGCCGTTGAGAATGGTGAGGTTTGTTCATTCATGAACATTGCTCACCTCAATACCAAGACTTTTGCATTTGTAGGTAAAATTTATTTAATATTTTCCCACAGGACATTGCCTTGTGTTGTTAATTGTTAAAGCGATTTTAGTTTTCGCTGTCATCTGACTTTTGTTATTCAACATCAGACTGTTGCATAAAGACTTTTTGTGTTATATAATTTGTTTTGTATTTAGTTTTTTTTTTTTTTTCCAAGGGGTTTTTCTTAGCTGGAAGTGCTTTTTATATCACCCCGCTTCTGTTTACTATGTATGTATATTAGCACAGCCCACCTGAAGGTCTGTACCCATTCCTTTGAATAAAGTATGTGTGATTTCAATGTGTAATAATATGCAGTATATATTGAATTAAGAAAGTAATTTATTTTAATTTTTTTTTTCTATTTTGCAGAAATTTGTAAGAAATTGTATAAGTGTAATATTTTTTTTTTCAAATGTGTGATTGCGACCTAGTATGATGGACACCTTAGCTTAATGTGTATATGTATACGTATGTTTAAAGAATTCTGTAGTTTATTAGATTAGCAATTTGAACAAAAAGTGATGCAAAAATTGTAGTAAAATTGTGCTAGTTTAATAGGTTGGCAGGGAACCTATCCCCTGCGAACCGTTAATTTTAATAATATTTTTGTTTTGTTTTTTATGTTGTTTTTTAAAATTAAAAATGGCAAAATTGTTTTTATTACATTAAGATTAAAATATATTCATATATAAATGCATAATTGACTTATATCTGATAATGAAAGGGTGCGTGTATAATTGATAGATAAATAAGGAAGAAATGCAGGGAAATAATGAGATATTTTATTACGTTATCGCGAGGTAATTATGTAAGCCCTTAAGAAAAAACAAATACCTTGCATTTTTTTTTTTTTTTTCTTTTTCTTAACGTATATAATACTATTAGTAGTAATTTTATTTATTATTACTATTTTTTATTATTTTCTTTTGACTGTAACAGGATTTGCTTAATTATAACCCTTCATTTTAAAAGTTTATTTATATGTTGAAACAATCAACACAACTCCTCACAGAATTATACACCATACTCATAACACAACATTGACACAACACGCACATCATATTTATTTTATTTTTAATAAATTATTTATTTCAAGGGCTGGCAAGGGTTGTATATTAAAAGTTCCTTTCCCAAAATGCATCGGTTATTAACGAAAAATATGTTTTTCATCGTAAGCAACTGCTTACATGATTTGATTAAATCAGCTTTTATTATCATTAGTTAGGTTTTTGATAGCACTAGCCATTTGTGGAAGTTTCCTGTTTGCTTTAAGCAATTGTTTTTAATTGTGAAAGTTATCAAATTTATAAGTGAATTTTTTTTTTTTTTTTATGTAAATAGGTAGATGTACCTTCTTTTTATACATAATGCAGATAAAAAAAACAAAAAAACTTATTTTTTTCAAGTGCTTTAAGACGCATTATTTGTACGAATGTGTGTATCATTGATGGATCTATTCACTGTGTATCTTGAATACTACACACATTTATACGATGCAGTTTTGAAATATTGTTTGCAAGTTTGTTATTGTTTCCTTAAAGAGAGTAATTTGTTACTGTCTAGCACACTTTTGTTTAAATTGTAATTATAACTATATATACATATATATATATATAATATATTTTCTTTCGGACAAATTACTACATATTCTTTTTATTGAAAGTTCACTAGTAGTATTGATTACAATTGTAAAAAGATTTGATCTATTAAATATTGCTCAAATTTTCATTTTACTGAATGTCATATAGACGTGAATATTATTGTAGCTTGGTTAATTTTTAAAGAATGAATGTAATTTATTATGTAATTTGTATTATAAAATAACCATTCTCTTAGAGTTTTTCTTATGTACTTGACATAATGTACAACAAAGAAGCTTTATTCATTAAATGAAATCGCTCAGTCTAGTTTACTTATCTTAAGTACATAAGGAAAATGTTGTAAATTGAGTAAGCTCGTAAATAATGATGAGGCTGCAAAAGCAAAGCATTTTTGATTACAGAAACATCAAATAAATGTAGATTTTAAACTTTTGATCTAATATTTACATTTATTTCATTCTAAAAAGTGCAATTGGCAGATTATAATATTAATTACAGCATTGCACTCGTTAGGAATAATGCACTTCTCAAAATATTTACGGATACAGAGAATGGATTTTGGATAAAATTTAGCCAAGCTTCAGTGGTCCTTTATTCTTGTATTTCTTGCTGGTCGTCTGTGTAACTTATAATACAACTGTACAAAGATTAAATATAAGGATTTAGATTTTTTAAACATTTATTCATTGAAAAAAATCTCTTCCAAGATATTTATAATGCATTGGTTTCTGTATATAGCATCTTATATATCTTAGGCCTAGCAGTTTTGTTTTCTTTTTCCAAAAAGTAACATAATTGTTTGAAGGTGTTGTATATTTATTTGGCATTGTTTTTAACAATACATCATTTTAAACTATCATTTTTATATTTATTTTTTTATGAATCCTTTGCTTCCTTTCACTATTTTACGTAATGTTTAAGTAAGATGATATTATAATTTAATAAATAACATCAGAACATATTAGAAGCATTCCTAATAGAAAGATTTTTATCAAAAAAGTTATAAGCAATAGTTATTTAGAGATGGATAAATTTGTTGACTGTTATCTAAAAATTATGAGAGTGATGAATAGTTAGGATTTGCAACCTAAATATGTTTTATTAGGCCTGCCAATATTTTTCGACCCTAGCATGTAGGTCATCATCGAGGCTAAAAAAAAAATATAACATCAGAAATGTAAGATAGCCTCAATACAATGGTCAATACGACGGTTAGCCAATAATAAAGCATATCCAGGCTGCAAATCCTGACTATATATCATCCTTATAGCAGTTTTATGTTTAATCTTACATCTAAAATTACGTAATATTAAGTTGAAAATTAATGAAATTCAGATAGTGGCCGATTCATAATTAACTACTGTTTTGTACAATTAAATGTAATAGAAGAACCCACCGATTTACAGGATAGACTTTTGATTGCCTAGTCCATATTTATGAAGACTGTACTAATTGAGGATTAGGAGGCAATTCCATGTATAGTTGTTTGTTCATTTGGGGTTTTTATCTTTTAGCAGTTCAACATTGACAACTGGAAAGCATTAGTCTGTGTTACAGACTCCTTTTTATCGAATTATTAACACCCGCCTGAAACTTTGTAAATAAATTTGTCTCATCGTAACCTACAACTATTTTATTTATGAAAACTCTTGCAATTGGAGCATTTACAATCAGGAGTGGGGCAAACTTTGTATATTTAATTAGGTACTGAAAACTCGTAAATAGCCATTTGCTTTCTACTTGGATTGTAAGCTAAATTGATCACGAGGCGTCCTTAAAAAATATTGAGCCATTTGTCCTATATAATCTTTTATTTTGAAAATTTGGGAGTGTAGGTCACACCATACGGCTCAATATTTTTGAAGGCCAACTTTTTTCTCGATTTTGTGGTCAAATTATCTTACGGTTTAAGTAGAAAGCAAATGAGTATTTACAAGTTATGAGTATCTAATTAAATAGACAAAGTTTGCTCCCCCTCCTGATTGAAAACTCTCCAATTCCCAGAGATTTCGTGAATAAAATAGTTGTAGGTTACGATGAGATAAAACTATTTACGAAGCTTCAGGCAGATGTTAATAATTCGATAAAAAGGGGTCTGTACCACGGACTGCATTGGTAACCAACCTATTCTAGCAATAGTAGTGGAAAGACCAAGATTTATTTCTGGAACTGCCCCAAAATTAATTTCAACCTGCCTGGGACAGATTTGAAATGATATGGCTTTTTACTAGAGAATGTAAAGTCTAAAGTTAAGGTCTAGGTTTCATATAAAATTAATATATCTGCTTCCTACAGAGAAAGTATCAAATTTTGATAAATACTAAATCTAATATCCTTGAGAGAAGAATGATTGATTTTCATGTATGAAATTCCAAAAATATCCAACTGGAAGATGACTGGTCATGAGAAAGCTGAACATAAAAAGCTAAAATTTTTATTCTTGCTGATGAATTTGTCATAGCTTTTATCTCAAATGAAAGTATGCTACCAGCATTCATTTAATGGAAAGCTGAGCTGGAAACAAGTATTATGACAACGGAAAACGGAAAAATTAGATAAATTGGTCATGAGGAAGAAAAGTAAGTCTACTGCTAGAATGAAATACTATTTACAACATATATGTAGAGTGAACAGCAGGAATAGATTGATTGGCTATGAATTTTACAACTGTTTTATTCAGTTGAAAAATTAGGCTAATTATTAATAAAATTAATAATTTTGAGGAAAAAACGTTATTGAACCCTTTCTCCTCTCTCCGTGCTTCAATTCATTTTTATTTTATTTTTATTTTTATTTATTTCCATTTTAAAGTCGAATTATTTATCTATAATATTAAAATACATTAATCACAAATAAATATGTAACAGCACATTCAATAACAATCTATAAAATTCCAAAAGCCAACTTAATGAATAAAATCTCTACTTACATCATTATCTTATCCTCTATATTATATTATTTTTTATATAGTTGTTATAAAATCTTTCCTTATTCTTATACTCACATTCCCCAAATATTAATGTCATAACCATTTATGAAAAGTCAATAATAAAATTAAAATAAAAATACTGAAATTTACAATACATCTCAAATAAGAAAAGGCCAACTACGAATACTCAACAGTTTACTATACTATTTTATAAATTACCTTTGGACATGTCACAAAAATTAAAAATTTTTTTTTTTAAATTTCCATCATATACATTTTCGTCCTATATGTATATATAATAGCCTTATGTCCACTATGAGCAGTGGACTTTCATATTATTATGCTCTTTGGGATTAAGAATACTGCATTATTTTAATGCTTTAAGTTTCTTATTATTGCTAATAATTTTGCTGAAATGATAATTTAAATTACTTTAATATAAATAAAATTCTAATTTATTAATTATGTCTACATAATGCTGCCCAATCCCCTTAATATCATTAAACATTTTTAGTTATATAGATAATAGATTCAAGATACTTTCTTATTTCTAGCCCTATTTAAAATTTCTATTTTATCATAATCAAAAATATGATTATTCATGATACCATGTCTTGCTTGAGCTGTGACATTGATATTTTTCGGGTTTTTAGTATTTATTTTATATTGATTTATTCTATTTCGCAAATTTTGGGATGTTTCCGCAATGTAAAATTTATTTATGCATTGTTTACTATTAATTGTATAAATTACATTTTGTTTATTCTCTTTTTTAATTTTATCCTTCATATTTGTTTAATTTATTATTATTATATACCCCAAATTTTATATCGTTATGGTCATATTTTTTTAATGCATGTTTAATTTTATTAGTTATTCCTGGTTTAAATTTCAATTTTAAAAAAGTGCTTATTTTCATAATGTTTTGTGTCTTATTTTTATTATTTTCTTCTTCACTATTAATTATACTTGTCATTTTCAATGGTTTTAAAAAAATCCGTTAGCAATACCCTTTTTCTGGTTATTTAGTTATAACACTTTTTTTATTATTATAATTATAGCTTTTTTTAAATATTTTTTCATTCAGGCACTTCTTACTTATATCACCATTATTTATTTCCTAATAACTTTCATACCAAAGCCTTTTATTATATTTATAGAGGTAAAAATTATTGCACAAAATTAAAAAAAAAAATCCAGTTTTTATTTCTTTTAAATATTTATCATCAGTTAACATTATAGATTTTTTATTAATTTTTTGCTGTATTTTTAATTTGATGCCTTGGATCATTTGAATAATAATTAAAGATTATATCATTGCTATTTTCTTTTTTTGTCCAAAAAGTTTCAATTTTATTTCTATCAAATATATTTATATCGAGATATCTAATTTTATTGTTAATCGGTTTTTCAACAGTATTATTTTTTTATTAACATTATTCAATAAATTTAATAATTCTTCATTTCATCGCTAGATCATGTATTATTTTTTAGTATTATCGTTAAATTTAAAATAATATAATTATGAAGTGTCTACAGAGTAGTAGGATGACCAAACCAGAAATTGCACAAAACATTCCAGAAAACATGCAAGTATTGCTTGTTATCTCTGTCACAGAATTATTTAGGATTATTTTATTTTCCTTCTTACTGTTCTTTACAAGTATGGAAGCCCCATGTTCTTCAAGTACTTAAAGCCTTAAAAAATATAAAGTATTGCACGAAATATTTTAGCCCAAAAAAGGAATATTCTAATAATAATGAGGACTAGAAAAAATGGTTTATGTACCAGATAAATAAAAATGAAACGATATATCAAATGATCCAAGAAGAGCGGAGTGAAGTTTTTTTGGTGAATCTCTATATAGATCAATAAAAATGTTATTATTGAAAAGAAAGTGTGTATTACTTTGATGGAGATATATTTTTTGGGAGGGGAGAGGAGTATAGAAATAGAAAATAAACTTCATTCTGGGACAAGGTCCCTTAAGAATAATAATTATGAACAAAAACCACATCTACTCCAAAATTAAAGAGTATATAAACAATCTTTAGTGAAAATATATTTAAAGAAGTAAACCATTTTGAAAAACATAAACATTGAAATGAAAAGAAAAACAGAAATCAGAGGAAATAAAAAACAAAATGTCAGAAGCACCATGAATTGATTCTTAAAATTAAAACTCAAACAATTTCAACAAACATTCACCTCAGTCAAAATCATTTTGGGATTTGAGAAGAAATTGGTAGAGATGATATTTGAATGAGGACAAGGAAGAGGCATGGCAGATATCAGATGGCAAGGAATTCCAGAAGGCAGTGGATCAAGGAATAAAGGAATATTCAAATATCTCAGTTCTATGGGAAGGGGTATAATGGTCAGAAACACGAGATCTTGTTTCTAGGAGTGGACTAGGGGTTTGAACTGTAGGAGACTGTAGATATAGGAAGGATGTCCGGTGTTGATCGTTTGGAATAGGAAAGATCCAAGGATATATTCTCAGGGGAAAGAAGGGAAGAGCCACTTAAACTCACCTTAAAGATGGGACACATGAGGTATATTGTGTCAGATCCAGACTTACAAGTTCATATTTAAGTTATGATGAATAAATGAAACCTAATGAAGAAACATCTTAGTGATTGAAAGAATGCACACCACCTTCTAAGTGTTACGTGGATAACTACGCGAAAATGGAGTTTTGTAAGAAAGTTTTCTCAATTTATACAATCAATCTGGGTTATTACGATTATTATTTCACGATTCCTCCAAAAGGCACTAGCGGATCCAGGATTTAATTTTGGGAGGGGCTTCAGTCCGAAAGATTTTTTTTCATATACATATAACGATAAGTAATTAATTTGAAAAAAAAGAAAGAAATTAACTACCTATATGAAATGGTGTTTAAGTGGTTCTTGAAGTCCTATAAAATGTAATTAAACGAACAAGAATACTTTAAGAGATAGTTTTTAATATTTTTTTCTGTAAAATATGATTATATTTTACCATTTTGGTAAAATTCAGCCCGAAAGCCCCCCTCCCCCGTAGATCCGCCTGTGTCCAAAGGCATTGAAGTTTTAGAGCCAATTTTTAGGTAAGATTCCTTGATAAGAATATTAATTCCCAATGTGGCGATTTACTGGAATCTGCAGAGCAAGTATTCACTATCCGCATCGTATTTCAAACATCAAGAGGAAAGATCATGAAAACTTATTTGCATTTATTTGATGTATGAATTGATTTTGCATGACATTTCAGTTGTAAATATGTTGATAAGTTGATTTATTGATTAGGCGCCGTAACTGGTAAGGGTTGAGAAAAGCACTTTCTGTCCCTTCAATATTTTATAAAGGAGTTTCACTTGCTTTCCAATATTTCAGTAATTTACCAAATTAAACTTAGAAAATAAATAAGCCATATAAGTAATAATTATATTATATTATAGGTAATAAACTGATGACTGGGCCAGTTCATAAATGACGTTCTAATCTTATCCTCTCCCATGTATCCCATTAAGTTAAGTTAATGGTTCTATGGTATTCAGTGGAAAGAAGTATATAATGTCGGTGTTAATCCTCAGAGCAATCTTAGCGTTATTATGATTAATATTTGTATTTTATTAATTTGTAGTAGCGATTCCTGACGATAAATTCTCAAGATCATGATAGTGATCCAAATGGTAATTATCGTTCTTTGAAGATATGCAGAACCAACCGGCTTTACACAAAAGTTTAAATGAAATTAAAATGAGAAAGTATAACTGTTTTTCAAGTTTTGTGTATTTTTATAAAAGGCTGACAATTTAAGTATTAAATAAACAATTAGGAAAAAGGGGCAGATTCAAAACTGTACATCGATATAATATCGATCACGTTGAGTTATCAACTATGGTCGTATGTTTGAATTGTTAGTTATAGTTCAACTTTTCTAATTTGTTAATTATATCTCGTCGATGGTTACATATCGTATTTTCTTTTAGAATTATGCATTTAGAATATTTTGTTTTGTAGTTATGAAAATTAACAGTGAACAGAAATGCAATAAGAAAAAAAATAGGAACAGAAAACGATCTAAGAAACGGAGAGGTAATAAAAAGAAGTTCAAACATCAGAAGTCTCATATTATAAAAAGGGACTGGATGCCAGTTCAGTTAGCTAGGATGAACGGAGATTCTTTTTGGCATAATTACAACAATGTTGTACTCTGGCAAAGGAATTACTTGAATTACATTAATAGTTGTAATTTGTCCCCAGATACATCTTTTATAATCAATGTACATATGAATTTTTGATTAATTTTAGGTAAGTGGAATAAGTTAATAGAATAACAAGTCAGAATATATTTTTTCTTTTGATATATTAGAGAGACTCCTTATGGACACCTGACAGTGGGACAGCGACAATTGATTTCACAACTAGCAAAGTTTTAGATTCTGCCAGTGAATCGAACAGTGAATATTATAATTCACAAGACGGTGATGATGAAGAAGAATTGGAAGTAACCAAAGAAATGATGGATTTCCTTGAACAAAGTATGAAGCACAAAGAAGCCATGAGTAAGTTTGTTTTCAATAAATATAGTATTGAAATTTAAAGTAAGAGACTTTGTTAGTGCTAATTCTGAATTGCTACTCAGAAATGGCGGCTGGATTCGTGACCTTTTTGAGAATATTGTAAATGGAATCCTAAGAAGTGCCAAAAGTCGCCGAGTAATGACATTCATGTTCATACTTAAAGGACAGATGTTAATGAAACATGTGGCCGAATGTGTCTGAAAGTAGGCAGAAGTGACTGAACAATGGCCCATTGGGAGCGTTACTTGAACTTGTTTATCCTTTTTGGGTGAGCGGGAGTTGAAAGCATTGATGTAATTAAGCCAAATAACACTTCAGTAATAACTGAAAAAAATTAATTGGCAGTTTTAGAGATTATTTGGAATTATTAGGAGTATTATTAAATAAGATTCTTATATCACATTATTTGACTTCAGTAGAGTTTACCGAAGTCGAAAATCTTAATAAAGGAAGGTTATACTGTAAATATGTCAATTCTCGCAATCCAATTTATAACATGAACATGTAATCTTGGCCTGTTGGAAACTTGTAGTGTTATCAATAACAAACATTTTTCTTTAATGATGCCAGAAAACACACTCCTTTATAGATAATACATAAAATTAAATTCATTAGTAATTATAGAATGTAGCCTATGGAACAATACATTTTAAATATAAATTTAATTTTGAATGTAGAAGTATTTTAATTTATTTCCTAGCATTGAAATTATAGATTGTGTCCCAAAAGAATACATGAGATGTTGATTATAGTTGGTCAAATACTCATAAATTATGTTTAATTTTGTGCTAATTTCTTCAGAAATATTGTCTCCGATTAACAGCTGACAAGTATTTCAACAATTTACTTCTCACCTTCATTTAAATATACAAAAGAATTTAATGTAAAGGGGACTTGACTGAATTAACTTAACTAAATCTTAATCTTCTGCTATGAAGAGTTGAGGGATTGGTCGTTTTAAGACTACTTTCAGAAACCGTACGGCTGTTTAGGGATTTCATTTATAATATGCTTAAAGTGATCTTGTATCTAACTGCCATCTTGGAATAGCAATTTGGAACTACCATTTTTTCTTTTTCATATGATTGATGCAATTGTTTTCACTCATTTTTATGTTAATATTAAGATATTTTTTCTTTAAAGGGTTGATGAAAGCAGAAGCTGAGCTCGTTACGAATGAGACAAAAGAAGTTGAGGAAGCACCTGAAAAAGAAAAAGGGCGAGGTATGATTATGTGGACAATTAATTGGTGACTATGAAATAATACAATTTTTACTTTCCTACCTCTACTAGATAAGGAAAGAATTTTGATCAGGTTAAATTTCTGATGTGCGGTTTCCGACAGATCTTTACATTTCAGAGCTCCCTGAGTCGGGAAAACACACTGTCTGTCAGTGCCAAGATTATCTCGGGAACTAGTAGACCGGTTTTGTTGCTTCTTTTTTTATTTTGTAGTGTTTTGACTACTGATGCCTGTGACACAAAGTGGGTGCTCAATAAGTCAAAAGCATAAATATCAAGACCCTCAGCTTTGTGTTATAAAGCTGTTAAATATACTGTTTTCGAAATAAACCATAATTCTTTCCGAAAACCTCTTAGGTGCTATTGTTGCCACGGGTACTTGGAAATATTAAAGTTACTCATGTTAAGGATGCAGTCCTTATATTATTATAATTATTATAATGACTGCGTCCTAAATATTTATCACCCATGATATGTATAACGGTCGACTAACTTCCTTCAATAATTCATTACTCATGTTAAGATTTTTAAAATATTACTATTTATGATAGTTTTTTTTAAAGGAAGATCTATGACTATTTGTGGTGTATGGTGAATTAAAGATGTGTGAGTTGGGAGTTCAATCCTATGTCACACCCTCCAGCAAGTCTGGAGGGCCCCTCTCATTCTTGGTCAGCGAGTCTACTGACTATCTCTAAATACTCCATCCGTGGGATGGTTACCTACGTGGTACTGAGCCTGCACAAGGTACCATTGAGTTTAGATGGTTACACAATGCCAAACCGATTGAACTATATCCAGTTAATATAATTGAGGTGATTATATCGCCGCAAATAAAATGGGCTTGTATAATTATCGGGCTTAGTAACAAAAGAATTCCTAAAAGGTTAATATTTACTGTACCGACTGATAAATGTCCGAGGGATAGGCTGAAGCAAAGGTGGAAAGATTGCGTTAAGGCAAAATCTGAAGGAACTGGATTTGGACGCCACCAGTGGAGAGAAGTATATAATAAGTGAATGATGGTTTCATCATCGAATATTCGGGTTCACTAAGCATTTTGTTATTATTATTAGTAAATAAATCTAAAAAATAATGAATCATTAAATGTGAATAGTTTAATTAAATTATACTTTTAACTAACATCACTCTGAAAAATTTCATAATTATAAATGATATATGGAGTATATTATCTAGATAATCACTATTTTATCTAAATCTTATTACAGAAAGATTTTAGCATACATTTTCATTATGAAAAATATTATTAATGCAAATAATTTATTTGTTTAGATGATATAGAAGAATGCCAAACTCCTCAAGAAAAAATGATTGATGAAAAGAGGATTTCGGAAATGTCAAAGCTGTATGGAAAATCTTTCCCAATGATAATAGGAATGGAAACTGCTCTTCAATTGACATTTAACAAGAATTGTGATATATATAAGCCAGCTTTTTGGCCATGTCTACCATTAAAAATACAATTCAATAATAAATAAAATATTTCTGTTTTCTTAAAGGTTTAATTATATATAACCACCATGTTATAACAATTTTCCTCAGTTCTGTATTCAGATAAATTCATTTCTGGGAGGGTAGAACTGCCTATTTTTGTTCTGCTATATTTTATTTACATTAGACCACCTGCATCCTGAGCATTTATATTTCAGTATATCATTGCTTTACTTGTAATAGGTTGTGATGGCCGAGTGTGTCAAAGCGTAAACTTTAACAATGTCAGTTTGAATCCGTCCGATGTCAGTTCGACATAAATTTTATCATGTACATTTAATTATTTTATTTTACTAGCCTGTTCTTACAAGTATGTTACAACTTGTAGGCATGTTAACGGGGTGTGGTCAAACTTTCCCCGGAAACCAACCGTAATGGGAAGTAGAGCCAGGATTTGATCCTATCATCTTCACTTTACTGTTATACACCTCTGGTATACTGGTCCCACATTTAATTATATATTTTTACTTTCACTTACCCATATATGAAATATATAGTGAGGGTAATTAATTATTGCGATCGTAAACATTTTCGAATCTGAGTTTTCAACGGAAATACATGTTTTGAGTCTCCTGAGCCCAAAAAACCAAGTCACGCAAAATAGTGTGCGTGCTTGTGTGTGTGTTTATAACCTTAAATACATTTACAGTAGTAGTTTAATAATTCTAGATATGATATTATATTTAAATAATTAGGTGGCAACGTCCGTTTATTCCGAAAAATCATCATGTAACGTTTTAGAAAATTGAACTAGTGAATAATTTGATGAATTTTCCCTTTGATGAATCCCAACATTATCATGTCTTCCTCTAAAGTACCTTTAACTTGGTTTATTATAAATAATAACTATTTATCATTGTTAGAAGTTATGAAAAAAATGCTAAGTATAACTTTTGAAAGAATTTGATAATTTAATAATGGAAAAAAAAAAGAAATACTTATCCAGCCGGAAATAGTAGTCAGAAGGTATACATATAATATATTGTTGGAAAGCGGAGAATTAAAAAAACAAAAAACAATATCTAATATAAATAATTGTAGAAGGTAACTGAGAGTGGCGAAAAAAATATAAATAATTTCTAAACACTAACATTATTTAACATAAATCACATGTTTTCATGGAAAGTAAATTACCTTTTCAGTACTTGTTTAATAGCAGGTAGCGTCCGGCTGCTATCTGCCAATGTTTATAATCTTAACTCTGATAAGCCATTGATAATATCTTTGTATTCATATTTATTGTATTTTATTCATATTATTATATCTTCGTATTCATATTTATTGTATTGTATTGATATTATTGAAATTGTAAGGAAAAACAAATTAATAATAAAAAAATACTTTTATTTTACAAGATATATATTAAATAGACCAAAACATTATACATATATAATTAAAAAACATTGCAACTTATACATAAAAATAAATGAAATAATAAAAATAGGCAAACAATAGATAAAAATAAATGAAATAATAAAAAATCACTTAAACAGCATAAGTACATATAACAGAAACACTACGAAGACTGTAAAGAACATATGTACATATAAAAGAAACGGACATATAAATAACAGTAACTCACAGCTTACACAAGGAACAGAAATAAACAAGGGAATAACTTAGGTTAGAGGAGAAAAGGGAGATTATGTGATATAAGATTAGATAACAAGGGAAGTTTTGATGCTACCCCCTATCAAACATGTACCAAATTTTCTTACTAATTATATGTTAAAGTATAATTTTTTTTTTTTAGTTTGAAAAAATGTTTGAAATTCAAGGCAATGAAATTGTTTAAGATAATATTTCATTGTACTTGTATGAAAAAAAGAATTGAAATATAAAAATATTTCATGGATATGTTTATAACCTTAAATATATTTACTATAGTTTAATAACTCTAGATCTGATATTATTGTTAAATAATTAGGTATCTATCGTCCATTTGTTACGAAAAATAACCTTTTAGAAAATTAAAGTAGTGAATAATTTGATGAATTTTCTCTTTATGATATTCTAACAGTGTCCACTTCCAATTAGTGTGACAACTTTTAGCCTGTCTATAAAAGACAATGCAAATCTCTTAATTCCATTTTAGTAAACTTTGCAATGGAAAATAATAGTTTAATAACTAATAGTTGTACATTCCATAATCAACGGATCGTACAACCCATAATCAACCAGCGATATAATAGATAGAACTTTTGTTATTTTAATATTATTTATGATTTGTTAGCTTTTAGGTTTGGCTCGATTAATTAAATTTTAAATGCAATTCAAAGATTTTATAATACCCCAACGTGGCCAGAAAATAATTTCTATTCAAAGTTGAGCAGTAAGTGAAAGTTGTGTGTTGCACCAGATTTTTTTAAGTATATAAGCGGTCTCATATTGAAGACAGACCTCTGTTATTTTCAGAAATACTGAATTTCGGATTTACAGGTTCAAATCAAACTGTTTCTGATGATTTTATTTTAGAAATTCAAGTTTAATCAAGATAAAAAAATCAGATGTTAAAAACTGTTCTGCTTAAGTAAAACCAAATTCCAAATTAGGCTGAAGAATAAATTAGAACCCTTGTGCTCGGAGAGCCTCAGGGTGGGCCTACTGGAAATAAAGAGTCTAACAAAAAAGGAATAGCTAAGGAAGTAATAAGTATCCAGGAGAAACGAAAAGCTAAGAAGAATATGAACAGTCAGTTGAGGAAATATGAAAGTCCTCTGTTTAGCCACAACTAATCAAGACACTCTGGATAAGTACACAGCCGCCAAGAAAAAAATATAAGATCGGCAAAAAGGGAATTTCTCAAAGAAAGATTGCAAACCATTGAGGACAACTGCAGATTTGAGATATTCGCGAATTCAAACTGGAAAGAAAGAGTAGGATATTAAGCAAGAAATAGTTAAACGCGAAGAATATCATCTGGAAAGAAGCTCCTCAATCAAAGGAATCCCATGAATGAAGAAGACATGGACACATTGAGGAACTCGAATCTAAAAATGTTGAAAAATCATATATACTAGATGTGGAAGTAGCTATAGAAAGGCTTAAAACAAGAAAGCCCTTAGGGATGGACAACCTACCATCAGAACTGGTTAAAGATAGAGGTAAAGACTCAAGAACTAAGTTATTACAACTACTCCAGAAAACATAGGAGTAGGAAAGGATACCAGAGGTTTGGAATACAAGCCTAATCTGTCCAGACAGACCTAAAGAAAAGCTATATGTATGAGTGTACTAATTACAGCGGCATAACACTCCTTCCAGTTACCTACAAGATAATGACCAACATTCTACTAAACGTGATATATCCATATTACGAAAATATAAAAGGCGACCAGAAACTAGATTCAGAAATGGAAGGAGCATGCTAGACTAGATCTTTATAATAAAACAAGTACTTGAAAATAACTCATGACGTTCACGCCTTATTTTTTCGATTTCAAATCAGGCTATTATTCTCTAGACAGAAATTGTCTTAAGCACACACTAAATACATTATGCAAGTTCGCAGATGTGACAAAAATTGAGGAAATTTCTCTAAATTTTGGGGTTATAGCAGTGAATGAGATGTCAGAAAAACGGGTAAGAAAATCAAAAACACTCATTGATGAATATTATTACATAAATGTTTTTTAAACAATGGCAAAGACCATTTAAAATCAATTATGATCCTATCGAAAGGTTTTGTAGCTGTGATAAAAGCACCTTCAAACTTCCAAAATCTTGTTTATTTGATGTCATGATGAAATTACTATTCTTATTTTCACAAAAGGTTATGAGAAATTGTTACTTAATACCCAATAATACAGTTCCGTTTATCCATGATAGCACAGAACTTCAATAAAATTCCTCAACTTGGGAAGAGAAGACAGCTGTTTTTTTATTATTTCCAGTTTCGTATATTATTTCATATCTGTAATTTGAGAGCTTTCTACCTTGTATTATTTTTCATTTTGGAATTTGCCTTGTTATCACTGTTAAACACGATCGGGATCGATTGATGGAGATTGATCGTTGATCTGTTATGAGACGGAAGTTCCCACCAAGAAAGTAATGTCTCCACTTCCGCAGTCCCTTTCCTCTGGCATACGCCCATTTTTTAATAAATGGACGTGGCTCAGCCTTGTTAGATATCTTCTTAGAAGCATCAATTTCTACAGTTGAAGTAGCGTTGTAATTTGGGAAGTAAAGGATTTTTTACGAGTACTTGAATTGTATCAGCAAACGGAATCAATGATGTGCCTACACAACAAAGGTCCGATGCAACGAAGAAATACTAGTATTCATTCCTAACTCCGAATGAGCTGAAAATGTCTTCCATAGACTTCGAGGGCCTTGAAAAGTCTGTGAGGAATAGGATGGTATACATTACTAAAGTCTACTGAATTGAAATTTTTATACAATGAAATCATGTTAACAATCTACTCAATCCATGAAAGTTGGAATGAAACACACGGCAAATCAGTTAATTTTCATTCACTGGCGATTCATTTGAGATTTCAGTTTTACTTGAATTTGAAGGTAGGAAGAAATGCAGAATAATGAGAAGATGAGTTGGTTAAGGACCTCTTACAGATTTTTTTTTCTCATAACTTTAGGTAATGACCTTTTATAGACTCTGTCTAAGATAAGTTTGAGGGTGGCTAGAGGGGAAGAGAGATGCACAGTGGCAAAACATTTTCCTGCCTATCCTCCACTCTTTTGTCTTCTCCGTCATTCATGCGTAATTCTAAATATTTGTTTACAAATAGAAATTTCTTTTATCATTTTTATTTCCATTTCTTTTCCTATTTCCTACATTGATTCACAGAAAGATTGGCTGTTTACATACTGTGATTAACTTGATTCGAGATAATACAGTATAGTCTAAAATAATACATAATGTGGAGAATTCTCTTTATATACATTCAGAAGTAAATGAAAAAGGCTCCAACCCCATTGTTGAAAATCCGATAACGTAGTATCGGATTCTTTTCTATTCAATATTTTCCATCTATTTCTTGACT